CTCACCGTCCTCGCTCAGGAAAGACGCTGGAGGAGGCGGCGGTGCTGGCCCTGGGCCACATGCAGTCCAAGCTCCAAGGCCTGGGGGGCGTCATCCTGCTCGACAGCGCGGGCGCCTGGGCGGCCCGCTGGACCTCAGAGTCCATGGCCTGGGCGGCCGCCAAGGACGACAAGCTGCACGTCGGCGTCAACCTTGGCGACACCAGGGTCACCGACCTGCCCTGAGCCGGAGGGCTTCCCGGCGCAGCTGCCGGTGACGCTGCCGGAGGCTCAGCTCGACCATTAGCTAGACCCGGGGGCGCCCGCCCGCCCTGCCCCTGGGCAGTGCCCCCCCCCCCGAATGTTTGGCGAGGGCGGGGTCTGAGCGCCGGGAGAAGTGCCCACAGAGGTCAATGCCACGAGCGAGGATGCCAGGGCCGGCTCCGGGGCCGCCCCCGCCCTGGTCTCGGGTGAGAAAGAGGAACTGACCTGACTTAACCCAACCCCCACCGTGCCCGGGCGCGGGGCTGGGATCAGACCCGCCCGTGGCAGAGCTGCCCGCCCGGCCAGTGTGGGGCACTTCCTGGCGGCCCGGAGGCAGTGGGAAGAGTCGCGGACGGTCTGACGGCGGCAGGAGCCGCGGAGCTGACGGGCAGGTCGGGCTGAGCGCTCAGTGTCCGGCGTCCACCGTTCAGAAGGACCTGGGCGGCAGACATGTCTCGGGAAGGGGGGGTGAAGGGAGATGTTGGGTGGAGGGGATCTCGTTAACCTCTCCCACCGGAGCCGTGTCTGCAGTGACGGATCTGCGGGCTCACCTCTCCGGGAGGAAACCACTAACCTCAACCCCACGGCCACGGGCCACGGGCCACGGCCACTAATAAAAGCGTTTGGAAGAAAACAGTGTGGCTGAGTCCTGTGGGCAGGCAGAGTGTGCCGGTGTCGGTGAGGGCTGCTGGCGAGCCTGCTGGGTGTCACTCCTGATGGGCACTTGAGGGCACCAGGAGCATGTCCTGGCTCTGGTCACACTGTGAGGGCAGAGAGCAGCGAGAGCAGCATTTCTGGGACTTCGCCTGGGGGTTCCCCCAAATGTGCACTCCATGGAGGGGGGTCGGGGAAGACCTTTCCCAGGTGACCGCCACATGGCTGTTCTTCCCAACTTGGACACGAGGTGGCACCAGAGCCGTGAGTTTCCGGGGGACCTGCACTGGGTGTTAATCTCCCCGCAGGCCAGAGAGGAATGCTCCTGTCATTCCCCAGCTGCGCACTAGGTGGCAGCAGAGGTGCGTCTCCTGCTGGCCCACCCCGGGGTTCCCGGCGATTTACCAGGTGTCAGACTCGGTGCACACCAGCCTCGGCAGTCTGGCACAGTGGATAGAGCGCCGGCCTGCGGACTGAAGGGTCCCGGGTTCGATTCCGGCCAAGGGCATGTACCTTGGTTGCGGGCACATCCCCAGTAGGGGGTGTGCAGGAGGCAGCTGATGGATGATTCTCATCGATGTTTCTAACTCTATCCCTCTCCCTTCCTCTCTGTAAAAAAATAAAAATAAAAGATATTTTTAAAAACGGCCCCTGCCCCACAGCCCGGGCTGCGCTGACCTCGGCATGCCCGCGGGCCGCTCCTGTGTCTGGCGCGGGCGTCATCCCATGAGAGGAGCCCGGGGCATGAGGAAACCACAGCCGCCCCCGGGCCCCGTGTCTGCGTGGAGGCGGCTCCTGGTGTTAGACACGCGGCCTGCCTGCCCGCGCCCGGCGGTGACTCACTGGCCGGGCGGCTTCTCCGGGCCCCACGGGGTGGGGGGGCAGGCTGTCCTGTGGGGCCATCGCTTTCTCGGGTCATCTCTCTCGGAGGAAGCCCTGAGCCCTGCTATAGGCTTGGGGGGCGGGAGGGGGGCTGGGGGTCCCCCGGGCCCGACCCTCTCTGCCCGGCCAGGGCTCCAGGCCACGCTCTGGCCATGCTCCTTATGGGGTGAAGAGGGCCTGGGGCCGAGCAGTCTGCCCACACCCAGTGTCAGGCTCACCCCACCCTGTCTGCACGACGCCACACCCCGCTGACCGTGGCCCCCGCCCCCTGCTGCCCGCCATCTCCCGCCCCCCTGCCCGCTGCCTCCCGCTCCCGCCTCCCCCCCCCCGCCCCCCGCCCGCGTCTCCCCACCCCCCCGCCCCGCTGCCCGCCGTCTCCCGCCCCCCCGCCCCGCTGCCCGCCGTCTCCCCACCCCCCCGCCCCGCTGCCCGCCGTCTCCCCGCCCCCCGCCCCCCGCCCGCCGTCTCCCACCCCCCGCCCCGCTGCCCGTGGCCCCCGCCCCCCGCTGCCCGCCATCTCCCGACCCCCCCGCCCGCTGCCCGCCGTCTCCCCACCCCCCCGCCCCGCTGCCCGCTGTCTGTGGTTCCCGGGTCTGTGGGCCCTGGCGCCCTGGGTGTCCTGTTTGTCCTTCATTCAGGTCCTCCTTCCACGGGGTCCCCCTCCCCCGGTTCCCCCTCCCCCGGGCCCCTCCCGCTGGGCCCTCCTGGGTTGATGCCGGCCTGTGCCTCCCGGTGTCCGGGCTGCGGGAGAGCGTGCGGGGACAGAACAGGGAGGACACGTCTCTGAGGCGGCAGCGGCCCAGGCCGGAGGCGGGTTTGTGTCCGGGTGTCAGATGCCGCGATGAGGACAGGCCCCCTGCGCGGAGGGCTCTGCGTGCGGGGAGGGGGGGCCGCGGGGGAGGCCGGAGGGGGAGGGGGAGGGGGGGCCGCGGGGGAGGGGGGAGGCCGGAGGGGGAGGGGAGGCCGAAGGGGGAGGGGGGAGGGAGGAGGCCAGAGGGGGAGGCTGGAGGGGGAGGGGAGGGGAGGAGGGGGGGCTGGGGGAGGGGAAGGCTGGAGGGGGAGGGAGCCAGAGGGGGAGGGGGCGGAGGGGAGGCCGGAGGGGGCGGGGGAGGCCGGAGGGGGTGGGGGAGGGAGGAGGCCAGAGGGGGAGGCTGGAGGGGGAGGGGAGGGGAGGCCGGAGGGGGCTGGGGGAGGGGAAGGCTGGAGGGGGAGGGGGGGGGGGAGGAGCACTCGTTGACACGGAGCCGGGGGAGGCCTGGCGGGTGGCTGGGTGGCGTCCGCAACCCGTCCTGGCTCCGTCCCTGACACGGTCCACCGGGACCAGGGCGACAGCCGGCCGGCGAGGCCACAGCCCAGGCGGAGGGCTCACTGGGCCTTTGTCCGAGGGCAGGGCTGCCGGATGTGGGCTCAGGTGACTGACGGCCACGTCAGCGGTGCCGCTCGGCGCTGCCAGCGCCCAGCGCCTCGGCAGGCCTGGGGCAGGGCTTTGCTGTTCAGCGGGTTCGAGTGTCTATGGCTCCGGCAGGCGTCTGCCCTCTGTCTGCGCCGGTTACTGCCGATCTGGAGGAGATCGGTCTCTGTGGCCCGCCCTGACCCAGCCACGCCACCGACTGCTCTTTCCAGAGTCTACAGACCTACCCGCGCGCTTCCTAGCTGTACAGACAGTGACAACTGTTGACTACTGAATCATTCATGGTTTTCTTTTTATTAATATAATTGCTAATTTTTTAAAAAAATGTAGCCTGTGGACTGATAGGTCCCAGGTTGAATTCCAGTCAAGGGGCTCGAACCTCAGTGTTGATCAATGATTCTCATCATCCTATCTAATAAAGAGGGAATATGCTAATTGACCCTCGTGCCATCGCAAAGATGGCAGCGCCCACAGCCAATAAGGAGGAATATGCTATTTGACTGCCCCGCCCTCAAAGATGGCGGCACCAGTCCCCTCAGCCCCGCTGGGGCAGTAGGCGCATGGCAAGGCCAGGCTCCGTGCGCCTGCCTCGAGTCCCCCAGTCCCCTCAGCCCCTAGCCCCCCAGGGCCGGCTGAGGCACAGGTGAGCCTCGGATAGCAGCTGCCCAGCCTCCCAGGGCCACCCAAAGCTCAGATACCCAGGGCCGGCCGAGGCTTGTGCTGCCGGCAGTGGCAGCAGCAGAGGTGTGATGGCCCGTCGCCTTCCCCTGATGGCTGGGCCACCTCCCGCCCCTGAGGGCTCCCGGACTGTGAGAGGGCACAGGCCGGGCTGAGGGACCCCCCCTCCCAGTGCACAAATGTCATGCACCAGGCCTCTAGCATATAATAAAATATTAAAATTTATTTGAGAGAGAGAGAGAGAGAGAGAAACATCAATGATGAGAGAATCACTGATCGGCTGCCTCTTGCACGCCCCCCACTGGGGATGGAGCCCCCAACCCGGGCCTGTGCCCGGACCAGAATCGAGCCGTGACCTCCTGGTTCCTAGGTGGATGCTCAGCCCCTGAGCCACGCCGGCCGGCCCAGCCTGGTCTGTGCCTTCTTTCAGTGGGAGCTCGTCAGCGTCCAGTGACTGGCGGGGCCTGTGGGGGGCTCCCTCCTGCCCGGAGCCCGTGAGGCAGCGTGGTTCCGGCTGGAGGAGCCACTCGGAGCCCCCCCTCCCGTGTTCCTGCCGGTCACGGTCACGGTCACGGTCACCGTCACGGACATGGAGATGTTGCTGCCGGAATGCACGGCCGGGCCAGTGTCACCCATCCCCTGGGGGGGGGGGGGGCCGGGCAGTGGTCACCCGTCCCCTCTGGGGGGGGGGCGCGGGGGGGCGGGCCCCGTCACCCGTCCCCCTGGGGGGGGGCCCGGGCCAGCGTCACCCGTCCCCTGGGGGGGGAGAGGGGGCCGGGCCAGTGTCACCCGTCCCCTCGGGGGGGGCGCGGGGGGGGGTGGGCGGGCCAGCGTCACCCGTCCCCTGGGGGGGCGCGGGGGGGCCCGGGCCAGTGTCACCCGGCCCCTGGGGGGGCGGGCGGGCCGGGGCCGCAGGACCTGAGCGGGCAGGGCCGGGCCAGCGCCCTGACCTTGAGTCACTGCCCCGAACCCCATGACAGGCCACGCGGCCCCCGCCCCCCGGCGGCAGAGCCGGCCCCGGTTGGGAAACGCTTCCCGCCCTCCCTGGCGTCTGTGCAACGCCGGCCGGTGCCTGCGGTTCTGGGCGGGAGTTGCCCAAGGAAGGCCGTCCCGTTTGCACAACCCCCAGCGCCCCCCACGCCCCCTCCTGGCGGTCCTGGGGAGACGGGATAAAAGGCGAGGGCACAGAGCTGTCACCGCTGCCTGTTGCCACGCCGACGCCATGGCGGGTTCCGTGGCCTGGACGGGTGAGTGGGCACCATCAGAGCCGCAAAGGGGACACCTGGAGGGGGGTCCCCTCCTACTGACCCTTGGCATGCGGGGCCCCCATCCCGGCCCTGGGGCCCCCATCCCGGCCCTGGGGGCCCCATCCCGGCCCTGGGGCCCCCATCTCGGCCCTGGAGGCCCCCATCCCGGCCCTGGGGCCCCCATCCCGGCCCTGGGGCCCCCATCCCGGCCCTGGAGGCCCCCATCCCGGCCCTGAGGTCCCATCCTGGTCCTGGGGGCCCCATCCCGGCCCTGGGGGCCCCATCCCGGTCCTGGGGGCCCCATCCCGGCCGTGGGGGCCCCATCCCGGTCCTGGGGGCCCCATCCCGGCCCTGGGGGCCCCATCCCGGTCCTGGGGGCCCCATCCCGGCCCTGGGGGCCCCATCCCGGCCGTGGGGGCCCCATCCTGGTCCTGGGGGCCCCATCCCGGCCCTGGGGGCCCCATCCCGGTCCTGGGGGCCCCATCCCGGCCCTGGGGGCACGGGGTGTCAGCCTGAGATGGCCTATTACAGGACAGTTTCCTCAGCCGCTGAGACAAGCCTTTTCTCTCCCTTCCCCAGAGCCGCTCAGAGCGCCCGGCCCCTGCCCCTGCTCCTGCCCCCGGCCCCTGCCTCAGCCCCCAGCCCTGGCCCCCTCCCCTGCCCCTGCCCCTGCCCCAGCCCCCTCCCCTGCCCCCTGCCCCAGCCCCAGCCCCCTCCCCCTGTCCCCTGCCCCGGCCCCAGCCCCCTGCCCTGGCCCCGTGCCCCTGTCCCAGCCCCAGCCCCAGACCCCTCCCCTGCCCCCTGCCCTCTGCCCCCTGTCCCTGCCCTTGTCCGTGGCCCCAACCCGGCCCCGGCCCCGGCCCCGGCCCTGGCCCCGTGCCCCTGTCCCAGCCCCGGCCCTGGCTTTGTCCCAGAGGCGGCTCTGCCAAGGCTCTGGCCGACCCCACACGGTGCCTGTGAGAGGGCCTGGGGCGCAGCTCTGAGTCTCCTTGTGAATCAGGTTGAGGGGAGCCGAGGCGCTGATGGTGGCCAGACCTCACTGCCTCAGCTGGGGGCCGGCTCTGCCCACCTCAACCATGGCCTGGCCAGCCCAGCTCCCCTTCCCTCACCCGCCCCCCCCCGTCAGTGTCCCCATGTCCCGCCCCTCCCTGCTTCCGAGGCCGGGCTCAGGAAAACGGGGGGCCTGGGGGGCGGGGGCCTGGGCGGGGGCCTGGACGCGGCCCTCTGGGTCCCTCGGGCAGAGGGGCTGGCTGCGGGGGTCCGTCCTGAGCCGGCCTGGTGGCCTGGGCCTCGGGGCCAGGATGGGCGACGCTGACCCTCGACCTCTCTCCGCAGGACTGCTGGCCCTGCTGCTCCTCCCACTCGGTGTGTGCCCGCCCCTGTGCAGAGGCCCGCCCCTCCCCGCCCCTCCCCTTCCCCTTCCCCTTCCCCTTCCCCACCCTCCCCTCTTCCCTGGCTCAGCTGTGCCTCTTCCCCCTCCCCTTTCCTCTCCTCTTTCCTCAGCTCAGCTCTGCCCCACTGCCCCCTGCCCTCCCCCTCCCCGCCCCCCACTTCCCCTCCCCTCCCCCTCCCGCCCTCCCCCACCTTCCCCCTCCCTCCTCCTCCACTGGCCATACCGCCTGTGCCAGGCCCCGGCTCCCTGCTGACGGCCTTCCCCTCCCTGCCCAGCCTCCCCCGAGAAGCTGGTCTGCTACTTCACCAACTGGGCGCAGTACCGCCAGGGGCCCGCCCGCTTCCTGCCCCAGGACGTGGAGCCCGGCCTGTGCACCCACCTGGTCTACGCCTTCGCGGGCATGGAGGGCCACCGGCTCAGCCCCATTGAGTGGAACGACGAGCAGCTGTACCGCGACTTCAACGGCCTAAAGCAGAGGCGAGCATGGGGGGCCAAGCCCGTCCAGCTCCGCAGCCACGCAGCCCTCCCGTGGCCCTTCCCCGTGGCCCTCCCCGTGGCTGTGGCCCCTCCCGTGGCCATGGGCAGTCCCGCTCCCTCTCTGGGCTTCTTGGGCTCCGTGGGGGCGGTGAGGTGGACAGGGACCCCGGGCCCTTGGTTTAGGTCCAGGTGGGATCCTTCGTCCTAAAACCTGTCCCTCCGTCCGTCCATCCGTCTGTCTGCCCATCAGCTCTGGGGCCTGCCACCTGGGCCACACCCTCGGAGGGTCTGTCCTCAGCCTGCTGGGTCCTCCTGGCCAGAGCCCCGGCCTGTGCCCACCCGCCCCACCCCCACCCGCGGGCGCCCGCCCCGGGCTCAGCCTGGGCCCCCCTGTCCTCCAGGAACCCCCAGCTGAAGACGCTGCTGGCCGTGGGCGGCTGGAACTTCGGCTCCCAGAAGTGAGCGGGCGTGAGCCGTGCGGGAGGCTGGCTGGGGTGCGGACGGGGGCGGGACACG